AAAAATACAAAAGTTCTTTTTGGAGCACTTAATCAACGAATCAAACGACAAAAATCATCGTTGAACAGATTTGAATTAATGAAAGAAACGAAATCAGTAATTTAAATTTGCTCAAAATTTCGAAACGTACATAATAATATTGAGTCATTATTTTCGATCGGACATACAGCAAAGGACGAGACTGATCAGAGTGTAAATCGATCCTTAAGACCTGTTTTCTATAGAATTCCTAACTGTTTTATGTGGAATGGTAATGCGCATCGAAATGAGTATTTCATGTGACAGAACTAAGCACTTCAAATGTAGCTATGAAGAGTTACACTCGGACCAAGTATTCAGTATTCGGCTGATTTTTTGCACTAATGATCGTTTTTAATCTGATGTTCTGCTTGCCTCAGAATAGAAAAACATGTTTTCGATTCTAACTGATATATCATATCGTCTTCTAATGTCGCTTAAGTCATCAGCAATTTCAGTCTGTTTTCGGTGAACGTTCAAGGATGCAGAATTTTCCAAAAGTTTGCACGAATGGAATCATGATCTTCAACTAGTTGAGAGAAGAATTTTCGATTTTGTAGAGGACTTTTCATCTATTCTAAAATTTTATCTTTGTCTTTTATTAGAAACGGCACCTTTTTATGTCGAATACGAATACATAAAAAAAAAACTAGAACTTTATCTAGTCTATAAACTCAGACATCAAAGTTAAAACATTGTCATTGTAGGAGTGTAAAAATATTTTCTTTAACACTCTATTCCTATGCCATGTTTTTGAAGACTATCATTCAGTGAGAAGAGCTTTTACATGTGCTAAAAGCTGCATTTGCACAACAAAAAATAGCTGTATAAGAGCTATTGTTTTACAAGAAAATTCGGTATTTCTCACATCTCTGTAAAATATAGATATTTCTTGTATATTCATTATCTCGGGAAGGGACCATCTGTTTGCGCTGAAACTTTTAGGATATTCTAAAGATCTTGAGACCTATAGAATTTTGTCATCCAATTGTTTTCGGTAAATACCTTACACTGAGCAAAACGAGTAAAACAGTTATAACTTTGGAATGAAAGCATATGGGTTCTTATTATTTTAGATGCCTTCTAGTCTCACCTAGTCCTACTTGTGGGCAAAGTATCAGATCAAAACCTTTGAATCACTTCGAATGGGTCGTTTGTGAATAATGATGTATTTCGTTCCTACCTGATGAGTATGGTAAATGGCAACGATAAAAAAAAGAAGATAAACAAGTAGCTGCTACGCAACACAGGAAGACCCTTTTTTTTGTATATTTTATATAAATTAATTATAGATATAAAAATAGTTATCATTTTCTCTTCTAAAATTAAAATCAAAGCAAGAACGAGCAGCAATATCACACACATATTGTTTATGTGATACAACTGTTTTCTTTTCCTCGGCAAAAAGAGAAACGATGATAGGCTCTCTAGTGATGTGTTTCGTTCCTACCTGCTGAGTATAGTAAAGTTGCAACGAAAAATACGATAAGCAAATAGCTGCTATGCAATACGGGAGGACCCCTCTTTTTGTACATTATATAAATTAATTATAGGCCGAAAAATGTTTAACATTTTCTGTTCTAAGGCAAAATCAGAGCAAGAACGAAAGATAATATCACACATATAGTGTATACGTGATATAGTTACTCTTTCACCCACGAAGAAAGAGAAAAGAGAATAGACACTCTAATGATTTTTTTCGTTCGTACTTGATGAGTAGTACGGAATGCAAAAAAAACTGACCTCGTGAGATTGAAATGTAGTTAAATATTTATTTATAATTGTAAAAGAATTAAATTATATACCAACAGTAACAATAGTGAATGTACAATATATACAAAAATAATTTTACACAATCTTACAATTAAAAAATTAATATCAAATAACAAGTAGTTATTATTTTCCACCTATGTGAACCTATTTTGCGTGATAGTGATCTTCTTTATGCGCAAAAACTAAATAACCTTTCCACATATTAGCTTGTTGAGTTATTTAGAGAAAGATTATAAAAAATTTTCATAACAATGATTATTTTTGTCTATTTTTGAGTTCAATATAACACATTAGAGATTTCTTTTAGACACAATTCATATTTGAGAATCTTGTTCTATCATGGTGCATTTAACAGATCTAATCAAGATACATTAATTAATACTAAAAAAGAGAATCTTTAATGGTAATATATATTGTCATTAAGTGTTAAATAGAATTCTCTAAAATTCATCAAAATTTTCGAAAATTTATAAAATAGTACCTGAGAGTGGATTCAAAGGGTGAGGGTGTGGGTGTGGGTTTGTTTTTGCTTCTTCAACACCCACACCCCACACCCTACTGTTATCAAAAACTCGAAAATTTTATTTTCGTCCATTTTTTATTACAGAATGGTACAATAATTTTACAATTCATCCATATATATATATATATGTCGTGAATACTTTATCATTTTATTTTACTGTATATACCTTATATGGAAATATAGGTTTTCTATTTTGTTCTGATGAAAGTTTAACGAAAAACAGCTGTTATACATCGTAGTGGGCATGAATCAGTTTTATATAAATCATCTATTCATAAACATTTTTCTTCTGCTTGGCTATAAGGTGTGTAAGAAAATGATTGATTATATAGGCATCGATTACATTCACATGTTGGATAATCATTTCAAATTATATATCGTTTAGATTTCAATCGACAAAAGATAAAAATAAAACATAGAGATTTATCAGTAACAATTGTTGTTTTTAGAATAATTTATGATTCGACATGAAATATTATTTAATTTTTATTGTTTATCTCAATTACCTAATGGTCAATTGATTTGATCAGTTAATGAACGAAGACATTTTGTTGTTCAATCAATTGCTGATATTTCAATAGATTTTTTAAGAAATAAAATAATTAAAATTTGTTTCATATAATTAATTAATGAATGTTAATCAGATTGTATATTAGAATCAAGTATTTTTTTAAATTAGGTAATAAAATTCGTTAGAAATATGATAAGTTTTTATTGTTAATAAATTTGAAATAATTTGCATTTTGTTAACGAAAATAATCATGATTAGCTATATCGATTTTATGTATAAGACTTAATTCAATTGTAATGTGATGATAAATGATGTTTTTTTTTATCATATAGGATAACATATAATATTAATTGTAACAAATAAAAATTGATGTTGTTGAATTTTGTTTTAAAGAAATCATCAGATAAATGTGTTTTTTTGAATTCTCTGCTGTTATTTTTAGATAATAAGCAAGAAGAACTTTAATGAAAGAAAAGAAATTTGCTATTGTTAAAGTCGATTCACTAAGAAGTTGTTTAAGAATATATTCAAATGTTAATACTAAATTTAAATCGATTTGATCAAATCATTTTTCAATAATTCCTTTTATTAATATTCTGTAGAAAAATAAAATGATCAGAAATCAAATTCATCAATAGATCAATCAGTTTGCCAAACACCTGAATTGAACTGATGAATCTAAGACCCATTCCTTTTAAATCATACAGATATATAATTCTGAGATTAAAGCCAACTGATGAAGCCTTTAGCAGAGCAGAAACATGTTTTGGTAACTCTATCTCACCCCCACGCCCTCACCTTCATCACATTGGTGTCTCCGTTGATATCTCTGCTTTTTCGTGATACACACATCCTGTAAACAAAAAGGACAAACTTACCTAGTGATAAAAGAAAGAAAAAACAAGAATGACGTCATAGAGAAGAATTGAGAAAAGAAGTTGATAACTATAAAATGCGACACTCTTTTCATTGTCTCACTAGCATTTGTTTTTCAAACATTTCAAATCAACACTATCTACGCAACAAGCAATGGGCAACGAAAAGTCAATACCAGCTGACACAACTGGTGGTGCAGGAAAAACAGCAAAAATACCTGCTCTGTCAACGGGTACAATTGCACGTCCACGGACTAACATCCCAATGGTGCAGAATGTTCTCCTGGTTTGGTTGGACAGCAATATTGACGACAAAAGCGCCGGTTGTCACAACACCGTCACCCAACTGCGGTGTGCTGTCAATGTCATCTACACATTTACGGATGGTGAACAATGCATACAATTCATCAAAACCATCAACAATAACAAGGTCTGTATGATTATTTCAAGTACACTTGGACAACATATTATGTCTCGGGTTCACGATATGTCCCAAGTAGATTCAATTTTTATTTTTTGTGGCAATAAAAAGCGCGATGAACGATGGACTAAAGAATGGACCAAAATTATAGGTGTCTTCACAGATATCGCATCGACCTGTGAAGCCCTTAAACAAGCAGCACATCGATGCGAACAAAATGCCATATCCACCAGCTTCATGGCCACCAATGGTGATATATTCAAGAAAAATTTGTACCTGTTGGATCGTTCATTCATGTATACACATATCCTCAAAGAAATTCTATTATGCATCGATTTCAAACAAGAATATATCAATGAGTTTATTGATTACTGTCGTGTTATATTTACCGACAATGATTATGAATTGAATAACATCAAAAAATTTGAACAAAATTACCATGATAATACACCGATTTGGTGGTACACATGCGGCTGTTTTTTATATCCAATGCTCAATCGTTGCCTTCGAACAATGGATATGAATATCATTATTAAGATGAGTTTTTTTATTGGTGACCTCCATCGACACATCGAACATCTACATAATGAACAACATGGTGGTTCCCATACCAATATAATCTTCACGGTTTATCGTGGACAAGGTATGTCTAAGACAGATTTCGAGCAGATGAAGAAGACCAAAGGTAGTCTCATGTCATTCAACAACTTCCTATTCACCAGTAAAAATCGTAATACATCCCTCGATTTCGCTCATCATGCTTTGCCTAATCCAGATTTGGTGGGAATTCTTTTTGTTATGACAATCGATCCTTCTAAATCAACAACACCCTTCATTTCAATTAATGGCTTTCAAGAGGAAGATGAAGTACTCTTCTCCATGCCGTCGGTTTTTCGCATCATTGATATTAAACCATTGAGTGAAAATAATCGTCTTTTCCAGGTGGAGTTGACACTTATAAGTGACAATGACAAGGATCTTCGTATGCTTACTGATTGTATTCGAGAAGAGACTTTACCGAACACCAAAGGATGGCATCGATTGGGTGAATTGCTACTTAAATTATGTCAATTCAATAAGGCTCAACAAGTTTATGAAATCATGCTTGAACAAACAACCAATGAGAGTGAAAAGGGAAACATTTATGATCAACTTGGAATGGCCAAAGATGGTCAAGGAGAATATAGAGAGGCAATAAGTTTCTATGAAAAATCACTTGAAATCTACAACAAAACTCTTCCTTCAAATCATCCTAATTTGGCAATGTCCTATAATAACATCGGTGGAGTGTATGACAAAATGGGTGAATACTCAAAAGCAATTTCATATTACGAGAAAAACCTTGAAATTCTACAACAATTACTTCCTTCGAATCATCTTGATTTGGCTATGTCCTACAACAAGATTGGTGTGGTATATGACAAGATAAGTGAATATCCAAAAGCACTTTCATATTTCGAAAAAACTCTTGAGATTCAACAGCAATTACTTCCTCTGAATCATCCTGATTTGGCCGCTTTCTACAACAAGATCGGTATAGTGTATGACAAAATGGGTAAATACCCAGAAGCACTTTTATATTACGAAAAAGAACTTAAAATTCGACAACAATCACTTCCACCAACTCATCCTGATTTGGCTTCTTTGTACCTCAACATTGCTATGATGTATCGCAAAATGGGTGAAGACTCAAAAGCACTTCCATATTACGAAAAAAATCTTAACATTTTAAAAAATGCAGTACTTGATATGTACGAAAAACAGACTCAACTATCTTTCAAGTAGAAAAAAAGACAAGTTTAATCTGTTAGTCTCAACTTTTACTTTTCAGAAACCGATCTTGGTCGAAATTATGTTTTTATTGATTGAAATAGTGTGCTTGTAAATAAAGATCAATGCAGAATATATTTCACCGACGAATTTCGTGTTATTTAGTTAAATAAACACTCATCAGAACATTCTGTATTAAGGGTACCCACCCCAATCTTTTGTAGCAAAAAAGTTTCAGAAAATCATTTTTATGTTTATGTGCTCTGCAAATCGAATGGATGTTAAACTATCAGTCGCCGTTTGAATGAGCTCGATCGGACTTGCCATTAATTTTTTATTTCATTTTTACGAAAAACCTCTGTTTTTCAAAAATTGTCAAAATTTCACTACCTGATGAAAAAAAATAAAGAAAGATTTTCTTGGGTGTGGGTGTGGGTGTCATTCTTCTTCTGATCTACACAGTCACCCACACCCACACTCACACACCCTCACTAGAGACCTGTGGAGTCAAACTTTTTTGACTCCGACTCCGACTCCGACTCCGAAAACTCTTAATGACTCCGACCTGACTCCGACTCCGAAAATTCTTAATGACTCCGATTCCGACTCCGACTCCGAAAATTGTTAATGGCTCCGACTCCGACTCCGAAAAACTCCGAATTTTTTTTTCTCGTAAATTAGCGAGAGCTTACATGTACAGTAATATTATGTGTTTTAACATTAGTGTATGTTAGCGGAAGATTGATCTAACTGGTCAATAAACAACGTCAATTTTATTTTCCAAACAGAAACCATATATAGATGAACGAACTAGGAAGCAGAGATGTGCGGTCCACGGGGTTCACCCCGCGGGCCCCGCGGGGCCACGTGGCGACGGGCTGGCGGGGAAGAAAAATTTAATTAAACGCGGGATTAACGGGGCGCGGGTATTTTCCGGCACACGGGCGGGCGGGGCGGGGAATCATTTTTTCAAATGACACGGGTCTCGGGCGGAGCGGGTATGAAATACACGGGTTCGGGCGGGTAAACATTTTTTTTCGGGTGTGATGAAAGATCGTCAAAACTTATCACGGGATGTCCTTAGTATAGGTATGTAGTACAAAGTACATATTGATTGGTTCATTACTTTCATCCTATTATGTACAAGATTGTCTACCATTTGTTTGTTTCTTTCTTTATCGTCTGTCATACGCAACTTCTACTATCAATTTATATTAAGTGAATAACTGGACTAAAACTTATTTTATATTTAGAATTATCGTTTGAACTTTTTTGTGAATTACTACTTAGGTCTGACCAAAAGTTCTGACAACATTATATAAAAATATAAAGATAAGGAGATATCTTTAATTTTATTTTATCAAATTTTGAGGACAGTTGCCATGATTATTTATACCAAGTTTGATCCTTTCCAACGATTAGTTAAAAGTTTTTTGAAGTTTTTTCGAAAAAATTTTAGGTATCATGGATACCGCATGAGCTAATCATATTTCATTTATTGTGAAAAGTTAGCAAAATCTTGTTCGATCATATCAGTTGCATTCTAGTGCTACTAGTGATGAGATATAGATTTAGTTTAGATAGGTTAGTCATAAGTTATCCGATGCTGGCTGGGTTATTGAAGATGAATCGTCAAAGACTATTGTTCATGAATAAAGATTTTAGAACATGCTTTGTTTGGTATATTTTTTAAATCAAATACTCCTGAATGTAGATAAAGGCAAGACTGTAAGTCACAAGTATTAGGCTGAACACTCTCCAAAACATTTTATTAATCAAATATGGAAACAAACAGAGACATCAGGTTCATAATGTACAAAATTGCTTGACGGTCATCGTTGACTTCATACTCATCTAATGTTATTAATTGCATGACAGAAGAAGGCATCAATATAATATCATATCTATCATATTCGCCAGGCCTGATACTATGTAACTTTTCGCTAACTAATTCTATTAAATGTAGTTTAACTGATTAAATAAATGAAACATGATAAGCTCGTGCGATATCTAAAAAATTTTTCGAAAAAAACTTTTAACAAATTGTTGGAAAGGTTCGAACTTGGTATAAATAATCATGGCAACTGTCCTCAATATTTGATAAAATAAAATTAAAGCTGTCTACTTACCTTTATATTTTTATATAATGTTGCCAGAACTTTTGGTCAGACCTAAGTATCATCGAATTACATGATTTATCTCCTGATGAATCACTTAATAGAACAGCTTCGTCGAATACTGATCGTTCATCTACAATTATTTCTTCATCTCTCAGTCATTGCTCATCGAGTAATATTAAATGTAATTCGTCAAATATAAAAATGTTTTTAAAAGAACAACCACAAAAATACGTGCTTGTCGACAATCACAAAGTGAATCAGAGATGTGCGGTCCACGGGGTTCACCCCGCGGGCCCCGCGGGGCCACGTGGCGACGGGCGGGCGGGGAAGAAAAATTGAATTAAACACGGGATTAACGGGGCGCGGGTATTTTCCGGCACGCGGGCGGGCGGGGCGGGTAATAATTTTTTTAAATGACACGGGTCTCGGGCGGAGCGGGTATGAAATACACGGGTTCGGGCGGGTAAACATTTTTTTTCGGGTGTGATGAAAGATCGTCAAAACTTATCACGGGATGTCCTTAGTATAGGTATGTAGTACAAAGTACATATTGATTGGTTCATTACTTTCATCCTATTATGTACAAGATTGTCTATCATTTGTTTGTTTCTTTCTTTATCGTCTGTCATACGCAACTTCTACTATCAATTTATATTAAGTGAATAACTGGACTAAAACTTATTTTATATTTAGAATTATCGTTTGAATTTTTTTGTGAATTACTACTTAGGTCTGACCAAAAGTTCTGACAACATTATATAAAAATATAAAGATGAGGAGATATCTTTAATTTTATTTTATCAAATTTTGAGGACAGTTGCCATGATTATTTATACCAAGTTTGATCCTTTCCAACGATTAGTTAAAAGTTTTTTGAAGTTTTTTTCGAAAAAATTTTAGGTATCATGGATACCGCATGAGCTAATCATATTTCATTTATTGTGAAAAGTTAGCAAAATCTTGTTCGATCATATCTGTTGCATTCTAGTACTACTAGTGATGAGATATAGATTTATTTTAGATAGGTTAGTCATAAGTTATCCGATGCTGGCTGGGTTATTGAAGATGAATCGTCAAAGACTATTGTTCATGAATAAAGATTTTAGAAAATGCTTTGTTTGGTATATTCTTTAAATCAAATACTCCTGAATGTAGATAAAGGCAAGACTGTAAGTCACAAGTATTAGGCTGAACGCTCTCCAAAACATTTTATTAATCAAATATGGAAACAAACAGAGACATCAGGTTCATAATGTACAAAATTGCTTGACGGTCATCGTTGACTTCATACTCATCTAATGTTATTAATTGCATCACAGAAGAAGTCATCAATATAATATCATATCTATCATATTCGCCAGGCCTGATACTATGTAACTTTTCGCTAACTAATTCTATTAAATGTAGTTTAACTGATTAAATAAATGAAACATGATAAGCTCGTGCTATATCTAAAAATTTTTTTCCAAAAAAACTTTTAACAAACTGTTGGAAAGGTTCGAACTTGGTATAAATAATCATGGCAACTGTCCTCAATATTTGATAAAATAAAATTAAAGCTGTCTACTTACCTTTATATTTTTATATAATGTTGTCAGAACTTTTGGTCAGACCTAAGTATCATCGAATTACATGATTTATCTCCTGATGAATCACTTAATAGGACAGCTTCGTCGAATACTGATCGTTCATCTACAATTATTTCTTCATC